TATATAAATATGTATCAGGAAATTCTCTTGAATCAACTTGCCTACAACGAAGCTATTCTTTTACCAACAGCATAAACAGCAGAAATAATGAAATTTGAATGGGATTTGTACAGGGTTTCATGTGATGTTGTCAAACACACGGGTGGAAGAGCTGAGGAAACACCAATAAAAGCTGACATCTCAAAATGAAGTTGCTAATGGCTCATGAAAACAACGTAGTCTTGCCACATTCATCTGTGGAAGGAAGTGGAACAGTAAGGAGCTCACTAAACTATCAGGGATGACACAGTGTGAGCACATATCAGTCAGCACTAGGGAAACACTCGACAGTCTGGTGAAAAGGCATGCAAAAGGCCAGAGGCAAACACGAGGACACCTTCAGGCCTCACAGTCACTGGGTGAGAAGGAAGGGATGGAGCCACTTTTCATTTTCTCGTGATCAGTTTGATCCTTTTGAACTCAATCGGTCATTTCTCCATTTTCACTGCAACCCCTCTGGAATATCCAATGTTTTCCTATAGAATCCAATCACAGCCTGCACCCAACAGGTTAGTGCAGCTGCCAGAGGAAGGACGTTACATTAAAATGAATAATGGCTCCTTTACTTCAAAAGATGCATGGAGTAAAGAAGAAAATCCATTCCAAAATGTTTTCTTCATGCTATGGTAGTACATTGAAAATGGTTGCTCTACCTTCGCACACTATTTCAGAAAGAGAACTGCACCCTTCTCTGCTAGTTCCAACCACTGAGCTCTAGACAGGTTAGCCATGGACAAAAGGAGAACAGGCACAAAAGAGAAAGTTAGAGGTCACAAAGTGCTAAGTGAACGTTATACAGCCCTGCTGGGATAATGTTATCAGAAATAACAAGTCCTGCATGTTTGAATTACAGGCTTTGGGAGAAAACCCAATTCCATACTCAGTGTTCAGACTGAAGAGTTCAACAGAGCTGGGATTTTTCCCAAAGCATAACTGAAAATACACGAAGCAAAGGCACAAGAAATAAAACTGTTTTCAACGACTTGCCAAATTTTTTCTAATCAAGTTTATAATAATTTTACAGCTAATTACAGAGTATATTCAGCATAACATGTTTCCCGTTTGCTTCCTTGATGAAAACCATGAGGTATTTCAACAAACAGTGCTGCAAAAGCCTCATCTATAAGACTGTCTCATTTATGGAACAAGTTAAAAATGCTTTAAACTGAAATTCAGACCATCAAGTTCATTGCAGAGACAGCTCAGAGGTTCTGCTAAGCAAGGCTTCCATTCAGCGAAATATAATCATGGTAAATAAGAACAGGCTTCTACACTAAGAGCAGCATTAGACAAATATTAGTTAGGAAATTTGAGGTGATATGTTTTAGGAAGGAAGAACAAAGTGTTAGCCTTGCCTCAAGCACAGAAACAAAATTCTTCCCCATTTGACTTTGTATCTGGAACATCACACAAGTCACCATGAACCACACTGTGCTTCACAGACACACATTAATCACACTCACACTGATCATGAAAGATCACATTAACATTAACAGACATCAATTCTTCCAGTTTTGATCATTTTCCCTGAAGAGGAAAGCTTTTTTACTTTTGTTTTATAAATGAATTCATGGATTCAGTGACACACTGATGATAAACCTCCACACTACAGTCAGTGCAGTCAGCACCTATTGAGAAGTACCTCCATTAACTGATCGTCCAGCTTGACCTGCTTTTTCCTTAGCCCTTCATTTTCTGAGCTTGTTTCCAATTCGTGTCCAACAGAATTCATCTGACTGATCTATAGAAGACAAGAGGTTTCCTTAGAAAGGCAGCAGCTTCATTTTATCTGCTGTATTCAACGTGCAAGTCATGAGTGGCTGCACATCACACCAACCCCAGATTAAGCACTTGGACTAACCTTCCTATTGGCAGAGGACAACTCCTTCTGTAGCTGTTCACACTCTCTCTTCAAGCTTAGTTTCTCCTGCTCTATGGCTTTGACAATACCTGACTGGCTTTGATGCTTCTGATGCTTTAAGGAGAGGACAGTGGATTCCAGCTGTCGGATCTAAAGAGACCAGAGATGAACAAATGTGAGAAGACATTCCAAACCATTCCATCTGCTTTGTAGTGATGTTTTTGGCACATTCCAGTAGGTCAAAACTGACAGCCCACTGCAAATCAATCGCATTTGCAATATCTGGTACCAGCTGATTTCAGATTCATGACAGATTCTGGTACTTTTGATATTTTAGCTTTGAGCAACTCTTTCTCCTCCCCATAATCTGCCTAATATTGTGAGCTGGGAAATTAAATGTGAAGAATGCTAGAAAACGTAATAAATAAATCTCAGAGTTGTAGGCAATGGAAGGGCCCTCTGGAGATTCCCCATTCAACCCAGGGTAGATAGCGAGAGGACAAGGGGGGATGGCTTTAAACTGAGACAGGGGAGGTTTGGGTTGGATGTGAGGAGGAAGTTTTTCAGCCAGAGGGTGGTGAGGCACTGGCACAGGTTGCCCAAGGAGGCTGTGGATGCCCCATCCCTGCAGGCATTCAAGGCCAGGCTGGATGTGGCTGTGGGCAGCCTGGGCTGCTGGTTGGCGACCTGCACACAGCAGGGGTTGCTCCTGTGCAACCCAGGCCATGCTGTGGTTCTATGAACCCTCTGCTAAAGCAGGTTCCCTACAGTAGGTTGCACAGGAAAGTTTCCAGATGGGTTTTGCATATCTCCAGAGGAGACCCCACCACCTCCCTGGGCAGCCCGTGCCAAGGCTTTGTCACATCTGATGACCCCCCACCACCTCTGCTGCCCTCCATTGGCTTCTCTCCAGCAACTGCACATCTGCTTGGAACTGAGGAACCCAGAAGGGGATCCTGTGCTCCAGATGGGGCCTCCTCAGGGCAGAGCAGAGGGGGCAGACCAGAATCTTCGACAAGAGACTATCTGAACCATCCCCTACCTTCTCCCTGGCATGCACCAGCTCCGTGGCAGAGCTGCGGGCTTCCCTCTGCAGCCGTTCCTTCTCCTGCCGCAGCAGCTGCTGCTCCTGGGCCATCAGCTGCTCCAGCTCGTCCTGCTGTGTGCACCCTGGGGAAGGCACAGCCCGTGCTAGGACCCTGTTCTTAAGACAGACAGAATTGCAGGGTTAGGCCTTCAACAGAGAAGCAGACGTTTCCTCCGTTCAGGTGGTGTTTAAGGAGGCTTTTGGTAGCTGCAGGGCTCCATCTCCCTCCCAGCCTATGTGCCAGTGAAATCCAGCATGGTCATCCCAGTGTGCAGCCAAGCATTTTGCCAAATCACAGCTGGAATGCTTACTGTGAGTGCACACTCAGCTCGATGGCACAAAAAGTTGGGCTCTATTTTGCAGCCTCATCAAATAAATAATAGAACTCCATTACATATTATTCAGTAAAGCTGTGATTCAGCTCCTGCTGCACAATTCTGAAGCACTCTCCTTCCAGTGTGCTCATTAAATATTCCTTTAATTACATGGCAAAGCAGACAAATTGGGGACTAAATTCATAATGCTATCGCAGGACTGCTGCCTGCCACCTCCTTCAGACCCACCTCCTCATCAGCTTGGCATTGCAAACAACCTTAACAGGCTAATGATAGTTATCTCTTAAACATGAAAACTACTAAAACCAGAAAGCATCACAGAAATACTGTCTTTTTATGCCCTCCTCCCTCTAGGCAGTTTGATTGCTAGCTTTCTATCACTTGTGTTTATAAGAGTCAAAACCAATGTCACTCAGAATCTGCTTGCTCAGGCTTGCAGCACTATTTCTGCCTTGCTCATTAATGAGCCAGCCTAACAGTCAGACTGGCTCCAGTGACAGGATGCCCATCTGTAAGCCATCCACGTGGATCTGACAGAGCTCAGTTACCTTCTCGTTGGCGTTCTGCAGCTGCTTGTGTAAAGACATCACCTCTTGCTCAAGAGCTTCCTTCTCCTGCTGTGCCACCCGCAGGTCCGACCTCAGGCAGGACATTTGGAGGCTGGTGTTCTGCAGGGTTTCATCCAAGCTCTGAACCTGTAAGGTGCCACAAATCTCTGCTATTTGACTGCTGACTGTTGGAAGGGGTGATGAGGTGACGCTGGCAGCCCAGCTCACGGAAATGATAAACAGTTCTCCAAGTTTCTGCTTCAAATCAGCTGCCACACCCTCTTAAAAATGGCCAAAATGCTGCACTCATCTTCCTTCTCAGAATACTTATTGTGACATGCTGGGAAAAGGAGATCCCTTTTGATTTATTTCTTCTTCTTGGTGGCCCATGGCCAACAAGAGACAAGAGCAGTGCCATCAGCCAAGCAAATGGCCATTTGTCCCTGCTCTTGGCTGCTAGGAAACAAACTACCATCAAAAGCAGGGAGCAGAAGCAGGATCACTGCAGTGCTTGAGGGACAGCTGGGCAGAGTGAGTTGGCAAGAGGAACTTGGATGTGGGGGAAAAAAAAAAAAGGTCATATTTAACAAGTTTCCTTTTGTCCTTTAAGGACATCCCTTTGAAAGCCCATCAAAGCACCCATTCTGAGTTGCATGAAGTCCTTGCACATGTTAGAAGAGGGCTGTTTTCTACGAAAAAAGCTGTACCAGAAATTCCAAAATGCTTTGATTCAGGACTGTAACAAAACCCACTGTTATACCTTCTCCTGTGAAGCTGATAGCTGTGTTTTCAGGGTCTGACTCTGTTGTTCCCAGGACTTCTGCTCCTGCTTCAAGCTGCCAACAGCGCTCTCCAAGAAGCTTACTTTGGCCACCTGGAATAAGATACACGGCTAAGCCTGAATCATTTGGGATTTTCTTTAACTCAGTTTGACTTTAGGAGTTACGATAGATGGAGTTACAGCTATGCAAGGAAATTGGAGGAGAGCAAACAAAACCAGCCAACTCAGTTGTGAATCTGTGCACAACAGGATCATTATTTATGGCACGCCTACTGTGCTGCTCCAGCCTGGAGTTAGAATACAGAGTGCAAGAACACTGTCCTCCTTGTCCTGCTGCAACATTCCTATCCATGCCTCTGCTCCTCACTGTTTGGAATTTGCTACGTAACCAAACTGCACTCAAACTAAGCTCCAAAAGCTCTTTTTAAGACCAGCAAGGGAAAAAATGCAACGGCACAGAAGCCTCGATCTGACCTGAAGGTAAGAAGGAAACCCAAAGCAGTTTCATAGCTTAGAGGGATGCAGACTGTGACATAAGAACTTCAGCACCTTGTTGCAGCACCCAGGTAGGGGCATGGCTGTGCAGTCCTGCCTTACCTTATCAATACATCTGCTTAATTCCTCGCTCAGCGCTTCCTTTTCTTTCAGCAGCTTTTCATTCTTAGTCATCAAGCTAGAGACTTCGTTCTGAAGGTCAGAGAGGTCAGGGCACCTGGGCAGCTGTGGGAGACAAGGCCCTCCATCAGTTCAGAGCTTTACATGCAAGCACCAGACAAAGCCTTCTCCTCACCTTAGGACCAACTGTAGTGCACTGGATAGAGTGGAAAAGATAGGAGCAGAGTACCACTCATGACCCAGGGCAGCCTGTGTCAGGGCTCCTGTGAGCCACACACCTGCAGACAGGTGCTACACCTCCTGCACTGCTTGTGTGTTAGAGCCCATGACATAATATAGGACCCACTGGGTTGTACAACACCAATTGCATTGGGTAGAGGACATAGCAGATACTAAAGCCTTGAATTTTCATTTTGTGTATCGTGCTGGGTTTTGGTTTTTATTTTTATGAATAAACAGAACAGACAGTTCTCCTTCCCACATCCATGTCCCCAGTCACCTTCTAACATCAACAGAGTAGATAAGGCTTTGGATACCTCCTTCCCAGAAAAGGAGGAAAGAAAAGCCACCCAGCTGACTTCTGATCCCTTTCCCATCTGGCACAGTGCATCAGCTTTATCTGCCTGCTCCTCTGCTCTCTGGGCTTTGCTCACTCAATCTTCTGTCTTTAATTACACTCGAGCAGCAAATCCACTCTTGACTCAATAGATCTCATCTGCTTTTGCTTTTTAAGGCCATTATAAATCCCAAGCATGGGGAACATCAAATGAGTGCTCTGCTTTAAAGAAAATGACTTTGTGGCACCCTAATCAGGAAGGCTAATTCATTGGCAGCCTTCATTATTTATAATTATCATTATATACTTGCTGCCAAATGAACTCTGTTTATATGGGCAACAGCCAGGCCCTCCAGGACATTATCTTTTTAAAGTTCTAAGCTGTCCAAGTCTCCAATTGCTACTCTTATTGCTTTGGCTTTGCTAGGGGACATGGTGGAAGCAACCACTCCTTCAGAGGAGCTGGATGGATGTCACCAACTGCTCAGTGAAATATTCCACCCTACTCACACAAGCTAGAAAAGCCTTATATGCTGTTGAATCAAGATCTTCAAGTCTTGGTCTTTGCCACTAACAACTGACTGTGAAGATCTACTGCTCTAGAATAACTTTTGGCAAAGTCTAAGCAAGCAAAATCAACCACAATTGAACAGCTGTGCCTTGCACTGAGAGGCTGCCTCAAGATCTATAATGCTGTCCTTGATAACACACGTTACGTTATGACATTTGGTTAGAGAAATTAACTACTTCCATCTCAATCAAGAGAGCAGGGCCCAAGAAGAGACAGGTTGGAGGCTCTAAGCCATCACCTGGTGGTACCTGGGCAGGGTGCCATACCTGCTTTGCCTTCTCCAACTCCTCCTTGAGAAGGCGGTTCTCCTGCTCCAACACACGAGCTTGAACTTTCATTTCTGACAGCTCCATCTCCAAGGAGGACACCACATTTGATGACTGCAAGAAGTAAAAAGCCCAGATCTCAGTTTGAGAGACAGTAATGAAGGTTCAGCAGAGGGTGCTGGGACCAGTGATACAGGCTAGGGAAATGGATGCTAATTCCTAAAGGTTCTGTTGCTCCATTCCATTAGAGCCACTTATCCCATACCTTTACTTTATTGTTTTCTAGTTCCTCTTTCAGTGCCAATCTCTCCTTTTCCCACTCTTCCAGGGTACATCTTCCTGCTTCCCTTTCCTTTTGCTTGAGCACCCTTGCCAGCTGTTGGTTGAGATCCTGCACATCTGCTTGGTTTTTGGAGTTTCTCTGGCTCAGTTCCGTGTTTTCAGAGTCCAGCTCCTGGTTCCTGGCCTTCAGATCTGCTACCTGAATTGGGAGAGCAGTGTCAGTTATGACTAATTTTGGCACTGAATGGTAGATTATTTTTTTGTAAAAACAATTGCAATAGCATCACAGTTGCCTTCAGATTGGACCACGTAAGGAAGGAGCGATGATTACAGTGATGTTTCTCCAGAGAAGCTGCTGGACTCAGTCTGCATACCTGCTTTTTCAGATTGTCAACCATCTTCTGCACGGCCACTTTCTCCTTCCTTACCGCCTCTATCTTTAGCCTAGGAAAAAGGAAAGCTCATCAGCGTGAGGTCACTTGCTAATAAACATGCCTGAAAAAACAAGCTGGTTCACCTCACAAGAAATGGTCATTCTGGACTTTCATTTCACACTTAGCATCACTGCTTTGCACAGACTTGGTGAGTACCTGCTTCCTTGACACCCCCATGCATTTCTTTCCTACAAGACTGAGGGCTGAGCACCTCTTCTATAAGGAAAGGTTGAGGGAACTGGGCTTGTTCAGCTTGGAGAAGAAAAGGCTGAGGGGAGACCTCATGGTGGCCTTCCAGTGCTTGAAGGGAGCGGATAAACAGGAGGGGAACGGCTGTGTGTGAGGGTGGGTGGTGATGGGACAAGGGGAATGGTTTTAAAGTGAGACAGGGGAGGTTTGGGTTGGATATGAGGAGGAAGTTTTTCAGCCAGAGGGTGGTGAGGCACTGGCACAGGTTGCCCCAGGAGGCTGTGGATGCCCCATCCCTGCAGGCATTCAAGGCCAGGCTGGATGTGGCTCTGGGCAGCCTGGGCTGCTGGTTGGCGACCTGCACACAGCAGGGGTTGGAGCTGGATGAGCACTGTGCTCCTGTGCAACCCAGGCCATGCTGTGATTCTATGACAATGACCCATGAGTTAAAGCTCCTCCTTTAGCTCTAGGATCAGGCAGGAGAAACTGTGGACTGGGGAAGGGCACAGGGACTGCTGGTGGCACCAGACAGCCTGCTTGCTTCAAAGCCTGGGCAACAGCTAAGGTGTGCAGGAGCTTTAGGAGAAAGGATGCGACCTTGCAGTGAGATCCCAGAGGTGCACACGTGGTCACACGCAGTCCTTACCGCATCTCCTCCCGGGATCCGTTCAGCTCCCTCAGTTTCAGGCTGGAAGCACTGCCCTCCTCATTTAACAGCATCACTTTGTTTTTCAGAATGGCGTTTTCTTCTCTGAGCTTCTCAGCCTCACATCTGTGGCAGAGAGATGAGACACGTGAGAACAGCTTCTGTGCGTCACCAAAGGAGACAAGTCACTGAAAGCCTGACCTGCTTGTGATCCTTGGCAACAAAGCTGCAGCTGGGTAATTGATATGAGCTGCATAGAGATTTTACATTTAGACTGCTTCCTTGATCATGAGAAAAGGGATATTAACTGTACAAAACACCCGCTCAAAGTTAATAAGTTGTTTAAGACAGCTAGAAGAAGTTTTGCACTTCAATACTGTATTATACCTTCTGGTCCTTAAGTACCAATAACGTAGCTGTGAATTTGAAGAGCTCCACAGCACCATAAGCAGACTGCAGCACGGGGTCTGCTGTGGTGGGACAAGGGGAAACAGGTTCAAACTAAAAGAGGGGGGAGTTGGATTGGACATAAGGGAGAAGTTATTGACATTAAGGATGGGGAGGCACTGCACGGGGTGCCCAGAAAGGCAGCGGTGCCCCATTCCTAAAGAAATCCAAGATCAGGGGATGGGCAGTGAGCACTGATGGAGCTGTGGGTGTCCCTGTGCACTGTGGGGAGCAGGATCAGATGGCCTTGAAGGGTTCCCTTCCAACTCAAAACCATTCAATGGCTCTGTGACTCTTTAGTGTTGCCTCTGGTATTTAGAAAAAGCAAAACAATTCTAGCTTTCCAAGTAACACTCAGTGCTAGAAAGGAAAAGAACAAAGAGGTGATATTAGTGACAGCTGAAAGCATCCTGAAAAACATAACTACCATCTTTCAGACATTAACACAGAGGGCCCTGCTGTACACACTGCAAAGGCAACTGCATCCACGGGCAAATCACTTGTGTTATGTCATGCTAAGTCATGTTCAGAGGAGCAAGCCACACGTGTATTCCAGCCATGGTTATCCACATTCAGACACCTACCAGCAGTCAGATTCCGAGGCACTGCTTTCTAAGGGCTAAGCTACAGAGGTTAAGGTGGCGGCCGCAGGGCGGTCAGTAGGGCTAAGGATGGTCAGCAGGACACACTAGGTTAGTTTCTACGTGGAGCAAGCAGCAAGCTGGAGCGTTGTGGGGCTGCCACGCTTCCCCCAAAGCTCTGTAAGCATACATTACCTCAAAAGATCAACTTTTTGCTGCAGCTCGGTGCACGTGCTTTGTAAGCCACGCGTCACTGCGTTCCTCTCCTCCTCCTGGAGATGCATGGCATTGGGGTTAACCAGAGCAGGGACCTCCTCCAGCATCCCACTGTGCTCCTGCAGACCTCTCTTTTCTGTTGATGCTTCCTTCATCGTGCTGCCACACTGGGCATGCTCATCCTGCAGAGCCTTAAGCACTGCTGCCCGTTCTTCTGGCTTTCCAAGCTGGCATGGCAGCCTTAACTTCTCCCTGGACACATCTATTTCTCCTCCAACACTTTGGGTTTGGCCATCTTTCAACTCTCTAACTGTTTTGGGGAGCTGCGTGTTTTCCTCCCAGAGCTTCATACTTTCCAGCTCGCTTTCTTCTAGCTTGCAATGAAAGCTTCTCAGTTCATACAGGTTGTCTTCCAGGACTCTGTTTTTTTCAACTAACTTCATCACTTCAGATTTCAGGCCCTCATTTTCTGCCTGAATTTCTTCTTGCAGTGACAGCAGCTTGGCTTGTGCCATCAATCTTTCTTGCAACTCTTCAACCCTCTCCCAGAGTTGAGGTATTGCACTTTCCAGGTCACCGTTCATCAATCCAGGAGCACGTTCCAGTTCTTTGACATGCTTGAGTTCAGTCTGCAGCTTTGAAGCATCAGGATGAAAGCTTTTACTCTTGGGAGCTGCTCTGTCACTTAGCAGACAGACATTCTGCTGTTTAATACCATTCTGGAGTATTTTTAGCCTGGGTACTCCCTCAAGATCTCTGTTTCTTTGCAGCAGAGGCACCTGAGAACCCACCTCTAGATCCTTGTCCAAGTCAAGGTTGCCATCACTTTCCAGTGCCATTTTACCCCCTGGCACATGGCACATCCACACCTCAGGAGCACCACTGTCCGCTCTGCTTCCATCACACGGCTCCTCCAAACCACAACCCATCCCTTCATTCAGGTCTGTAGCATCAGCCTCCAGGAGCTGACAGCCATCCAGATCCGCTCCCTTGCCTTCATCTCTACAGTCACAGGGCAGCCCTCCAAAAAGAGGATTCACTTCGTCTAGCAGCTGCAATGTTTGGTCAGAGCAATTAGGCCAGGCACGCCCCATGGATCTGCACTCAGCATCTTGCAGCCTGTGCTGCAGCCTGACAATCTCAGCAGCCATCCTGACATTTTCCTTCACAGCTTGCTCATGCACTTTCTGCAAGTTTATGAGAACATCTGCATCATCTCCCAGCGGCTCCGTAGCAGAGAAAGAAGCTATTTTGCTCTTTGCTTTGGTGTATTCGTTTTCCAGGACCCGATAGTGATTCTGTAGTGCAGAAAAACTAAGGTTCTCCCACTGCAACTTCTGCACTTTTTCTTGGAGGTTTGAGATTTCCAAATTCATCTCTGCCTTTTCTGCTTCTGCTTTCACACAAATGTCTTTGTTTAAACTTTCCAAGGCGAGAAGCTTGGAATTCAGTTCTTCCTTCTCCCGCTTATACTCACTATGGAGTCTTTCCAGCTTTTGCCTGACCAGCTTCCCACTTTCCTCCGCCGTGTTGATCCGCTCCTCTTTGTCCTTCAGCTCTTTCTCGTGGTCATTTTGAAGCTGCAGCATCTCACTGCTCAGCTTTCTCTCCTGCTCCTCAGCAGCATCCCTCAGCTCCTGCAGCTCTTTCTGGAGCTGCTCCTTCTCGCACACCAATGTATTCACCTCCTCCTTAAACTTCTTCTCCAGGAGCTCCTTCTCTCGGCTCAGGGCAACAGAGGCAGCCTTCTCATTTGCCAGGCTTTCCTTCAGCTGCTCGTGGGCTTCAGCGACCTCCTGGGCAATCTCATCCCTTTCAAACTCCCACTGAGCCTTCTCCTCTCTCTGCAGTTCCACAAACTCACGCAGCTCTCGCTGGTAGCGGCCCTCCAGACTTTGGATGGTTTCTTCATACTTATTCACAAGTGTTTGGGTGTCAGCAGAGAACTGGCTTTCAGCATGAGATGCTCTTCTGTTATAGTCACTTTCCATTTTTTGCCTAAACGTGGTTAACATAACAGATTACTAAACCCTGGGCTATCTCAGGAAGAGATTAATTTTCAAAGCTACTTCAACTGAATGCTTTCTCCTACTGAGTTTTAGTGGCACTACTGTCTGCTGGGTGTTTCTGAGAGCAAAAAGGTAAACGTGGCCATTTATTGAAACTTGAATAATTCATTGATAATTCAATGATAACTGCCATGGATGTGTTCTCCTATACCTGGCATTGGATTTGTGGGGGCAAATATTCTTGTCCCCATCTCTCCCTGTCAGCCCAGGATGCTCTCATTACTTCTGATGCTCACTCCTGACTAGATGCATGTACCAACCACCTGTTTGCTTCTTCAGAAAAGGACAACTCGAAATCAAAGGACTGTAAAGCACAGGGATGCCGAATGGAGCTCAAATTAACCACGCCTGGTTACGCTTTAGCAGCACTGCTGCCTCTGGGTGAGCTAAGAGCCAGCAGAAATATCTGCTGGAAAAGGGTCAGAAGACACAGCTCTGTGTATGAGCCCACCTGGTTCTGGAATGAAGCACTGTACAGTTACAGCACCTGAAATGAGCACTGGGAACGAGCTCTGTGCCAGCATCGCTAAGGTCACAGTGCCAAGCAGCACAGAGCACAGCTATAGAGCCACGGGGACACTCACCTCTCCTCCTCCAACTCCTGCCTGTGCTTCCTCAGCAGCTCCTCCTTCTCCAGGGCATGTGCTTCTGCCATCCTCTCCAGCTGCTGATGGAAGCCGTGCTCCAGCTCTCCCTTCTCATCCTGCAGTGCCTGCAGCAGTGCTCTCATTTTCTCCTCTGCCCACACGCCGTTCTGGATCAGCTCCTCCCGTTCTCGACTGAACTTCTCATTGGCCTGCTCCAACCTGGCTCTAACATCGTCCTCGTGCTCCTGCCTCAGCAGCTCCTGCAGATTGGCTTTCTCCTCACTGAAGCTGACCTGCAGCTTGTTTTTCTCAGCATTATGTTCACAGCCAAGCTTTTCTTGCTGCTCCCTGAGTGCTGCAGCCTCTCCTTGCAGCTCCGCCACTTGGCTTCTGAGCCCAGCTATCTGCTTCTCCATCACACGCATCTCCTCACCGAACTTCTTCCTCATGTCCTCCTGCTCCTTCTCACAGTGGGTTTTTGTCTCACCCAGCTGCTTCTCATAGTGACTCACCTGCAGGAGGAACACAGACTGTTTCTCCAGAACATACAACAGAAATGTACAGGAAACATCTCTAGAATGTTTTCACATATTTTATGGAGCATTTTGACATTTAGGTTGGATGTCAGGGGGAAGTTGTGTGCTGTGAGACTGGTGAGGTGCTGGAACAGCTGCCCAGAGAGGCTGTGATGCCCCGTCCATCCCTGGAGGTGTTGAAGGCCAGGTTGGATGGGGTCCTGGGCAGCCTGGGCTGCTGTGAAATGGGGAGGTTGGTGGCCCTGCATGGCACAGGGGGGTTGGAGCTTCGTGATCCTTGAGATCCCTTCCAACCCGGGCCAGTCTGTGATTCTGACTCATTCTTTACATTGGTTTCCCCTGCTAAGAGCTCAGCATCATGTCTCACTGTGAAACTCATATCTTTACGTTAAATGAGTTTTGTCACAGAAGAGAGAACCTGCTCATTTTAAAGTCCTAAGTCAGGTTTGTAGCTGCCATGGAAGCATTTCACCAACACATTCTTCAAAACCCTCCCCACATTAAGAGGTGAGGGGTTTCCCTTCATTAAGGTTTTAGAAGTGACAAGAAAAGTAATGATGTCAAGGTAATATTGCTTTAGTTCCCTTTCCTCACAAGCACCACTTGTTTCCCTTTGCAAACCAGGGCAGACAGTTGCCACTCTGTCAGAATACAATTTCATTACCCCCATCTTATACCATACAAGAAATGAGTGCATTATACAGATGCAGCATAGTTACCAGCTCTTAACTGGAGCTGAAGTCCAGTGTATCAAATGCAACAGAAGCCCAACAGGACCAATGACATCTGGTCCCGTTGCAGAACAAGCTTAGACTGCTCCAAGACCACCCTTCTACAAAAAAGCTGCAAAATTTGGTGAAGTTCTAAACAAGAATAGCTTACAGTGTCTTCCAGCTCCTGCTTGAGGTGATGCAAATCCCTGTGATGTTGCTCCTTCATTTGCTCGATGGCCATTTCAGCCTCTATGCTCATATTTAATGGATTGCAGTCTTCCGACCCAAGTTCTTTAAAGAGAATAATTACATGCATCACCTTGAAACACCAAGAGCTACATTTTCAATAGATGTATTCATACACCCAGACGGTGGTGAGGCACTGGCGCAGGTTGCCCAAGGAGGCTGTGGATGCCCCATCCCTGCAGGCATTCCAGGCCAGGCTGGATGTGGCTCTGGGCAGCCTGGGCTGCTGGTTGGCGACCTGCACACAGCAGGGGTTGGAGCTGGATGAGCGCTGTGCTCCTGTGCAACCCAGGCTGTTCTAGGATCTGAGCTTTGAACATGGCACAGCAGTCATGTGCACTTAATGCTGCACATTAAAACGGGAGTGCTGCTAAGAATTTCACTGGGAAGGTTTGGGGCAGCCTTTACATAACCCCATCCAAGACATTCTAAATATCTACACTGCAGGACTTCCCATGGAGGAAACATGCCTTACCCTGGTCAGGTTCAACGCCGCTGTTGCCATAGCTTTTGATATCAATATCAAACTCCTCTGACAGTGAGTTCTTCAGGGACGGCCTGAACACCTTGCCCTGAGTGCGGTACTCCTCCAGCTCTGAGTGCAGCTCATCGATCTGGTCCTGCAGCTCCTGCAGGGGAGAAGCAAAGGAAAGCTTTGGTAAAAGCAGCCTTTGGTAAAAACAGCTGGGCATCTGCACACCAGCATAACACAGAGACAAGACTTTCAGGAGAGAATTGCTGCAGATAAGGACTCAGTCTTGCCAGTTAACAACCAGGATGAGAAGTGATGGCCTCAAGTTGTGCCAGGAGAGAATCAGGTTGGTTATTAGGAAACATTTCCTCTCCAAAAGAGCAGTGCTGCCATAGCACAGCTGCCCAGGAGTGGTCACTGCCCATGAGGGATGTGGGCAGCGGGCATGGTAGGGTGGGCTGGGG